CCACTGCAGTGCAGCCACCTCTGCACAACATTCCTGGGCAACTTTTTGTTGCACAGTTGGACATTAAATGTACGTGTTAAAAAAATCTTTATAAGTCAGTGTCCAGCAGCTACACCAGAGCAGTTATTTATAAATCTCCAACTTAACTCAATGCATTTGGGTTCCTTCAATGCTCTGGCTCACCTCTACCCCACCCAATCTGTCTGCACAAGGGGTTGGAAAGGAAGCAGCTGTTTGAACACCACAGTCTGGCGCACACACAGGTGAAGATAAATATGTCAGTTACTTAATTCCATTGTAGACAGTTCACAGTGCAAATGCAGGGAGACGTCGCCCTTTGGTGCCCAGTCGTAACCGATCCCCGTCACTGAGCTGCAGAAAATCCAAGTACCTCCCAAATCCCATTTTTTTTCTTTCCATCTCTGGAGTTTAAGGAGAGATTCATTGTAGTTCCCAGCTACAGACAGCCCAGTTTGTCTTATGAATGTGGCTATGTGTTAATATGTCTCTCGAATTCACCTCCTGTACTACTATTTCACATGCAGAGATAGCCCGGACTTGGGAACACCCGGTGACGTGTCAGATAGGTGGATAGCAGGACTGAGGAGTGAAAGTGCTGGGGGTCTTTACTACTCAGTTGCTCTCAATGTGGCTTCTGTGTGTTGTGTAGCTTGATCATTTTGCAGGCTTGGCCTTTGGTAATGGTGCTGTTCTTATTAGGGCCCAGGGTCTGTTCTTTTCCTGCCCTGGCTTTGTTTGTGTGAAATGCCTGGACTCTGGAACAAGGGTTTTGTCTAAGTTCTCTGTCTGGCTGCATTACTGTGCAGCACCCCACTCCCTGTGCCACAGAAATAACCAGCCTCATCGTCTGCTTGGTCGTCGGTGATGGTTGGGTTGATGGTTGTATTAGCCGCATCTTTAGAACCGGAAAAGCGACTGGGGACCCCAGTGCCCTTGTGCTTGGCAGCATTGGATTTGTACCACAGAAGATATTTTGGAGTATTTCCAATTTTCGGCTGGTGCCAGGTGGCATGTGTGATCAGGTACCCACTGCTGATGGTGCAGGAGAGTTGAACAGTGCAGCTAGTTCCCGCTCGAGTTGCTGCCAAGAGTCCTTTTCGTACCAGGTCTGGTCTTGTCCGAATCAGTTCTCATTTTTGTTTTTCAGCCTCCTCTATTATTGTCTGGCATGAGGCTTTCACCTCCCCCAGTGCTTGGTTTGCACCCTGTAACTGTGTCTCCAGGGTCTGTTGTCATTAGCGTCTCTTGCCCAACTCTCTGGACCCACTGCCCCAGGCTGTCCAGTCCACGCACCTCGGTCTAGCCTCTGGGCCAAGAGTCCATGTCCAAGCGAGGATCGTCCTATGGTCAGCTCGTCCAAGCAGTACCCGTCTTGTAACAGGGCTGGGACATCACATTAGGCCAGTCTCTGCCTACAATCACAGGCCAGGGAGGTCTCTTAGTAGGCTGACCCTGCGCTTGTTCATCTGACCTTGTATTTCAATGTCTAGCTCCACTGCTGGGCACACTACTGTCTCTCCATGGAGAGCAGGGGGAGCTTTGGGACACAGCCACCAACACTCCTGCTTTGGCTAGGACAGCCCCGGCCTTTCCTGCAGCGGGACACTGACTCTGCAGCCAGCAGATGAACTTTTCTATTGAGGTTCTTATGCCGCACCCATCACTGTGGTACCTGAGCACTGAGACTGGCCCACAGGGAACTGGACATGGCCACGGGCCAGTGGCTTGTTGGATTGCAGGGGCCAGGAGGAACAGAGACCATGGAGACACTAATGAACTTCTGGAGAGGACCAGGGAAGCTGCAAAGCAGCTGGGATGAGGCCAGGGAGGATATCACATGTTATCTGATAAATGCTGTATCTGGACACTTCATCCAGCCCTGGCAACTGGAATGGACTAAGGGATCTGATAGGTCTTTCCTAAGTTACCTCTAACTTCCAGGACACTCAGGGTGTTGTCCAGCTGGTGGGGTAACACAGGGGAACTGGTTAGGGGAGACATGTCTGTTTACCCAAGGAGCATGTGGCAGTCTGATCTCAGTTTGACCCAGGTAGTGGTGGGTCTGTAACTAGGGTGACCAGATGTCCCGATTTCATAGGGACAGTCCGATTTTTGGAGCTTTTTCTTACATAGGCACCTATTATTCCCCACCCCCTGTCCCGATTTTTCACACTTGCAGTCTGGTCACCCTGTCTGTAACACAGGGATCTATAAGGCAGGAATGGTTGTTCCTGGCAGACAGACCAAGCAATGAGCATAACAGTGGCTGACATCGCCCCCAGAGGGAGTGAATGGGGAGTGGGTGGAGCAGCGCCCCCTGCTGACAGCAAACGGCTGAAATTCTTAAGAAGAAGCAATCAGTGTGTGATGTATTGAAGGGAGGAAACAAACTGTGCAGTCAGTGCAGAGCCCAGGCAGGAGGAGATGACGGGGGGAAGACGGGAGGTTTTTGTCTCAGTTCCCCATCTGGCTGGATCACTGTGATTCGCACTACCAGTATGTACAACACAGTAATAGTCAGCCTCATCCTCTGTCTGGACACTGGTGATGGTCAGGGCAGCGTTGTTACCGGATATGGACCCAGAGAACCGGGCAGGGATCCCGGAGGGTCTGTTGTTAGTTTGGTATATAAGCTGCCGAGGAGCAGAGCCTGGTTTCTGCTGGTACCAGCCTGGATAGTTGCTGGTGGTGATGGCTCCAGTGCTCAGGCTGCAGGACAGAGTGACAGCCCCTCCTGGGGTCACCGACATCGAGGGCTCCTGAGTCACCACGGGCTGCGAACTGACCCCTGAAATCAACATTACAAACAAACTCAGCACAAGGACTCCAGATCCTCACAGACAAACCTCCTCACCTGCAAGTTCCTTTAATGTTCTTGTCACTGAATCAAACAATTCCCTCACCTGAGCAGTACGTCAGCAGCGTGAGGAGCAGAGGGGCCCAGGCCATGGTGGGGAATCCAGACGAGCTCGGCTTCCTCAGGCAAACGGGTCTCTAGCTGGCACCCTCCGATTCTCTCTTAAACCCCCAGAGCTGGAGAACGGCCCCTTCATGCAAATCTGCCTGATGCTGGTGGTTTCTCATATCAAAGCTGAGCCCTGCAGATTGCCTGGGCAGAATCGCTCTCTAAGGTCCCATGTGACAGAAGTAAGAAAGGCCCCTCTGCTTTATCATTTGTTCAGGGGAAGCCAATGTGATCCCAGTGCGGAGAGCTCCGACTGGGAAATGTGCTGTCGTCACTCATTTACCTGCACGGAGCACTTGGATTATGATGGGATTTCAGAACCACCCCCTCCCCCCACACACACACTAGCACTGAATTAGCAGGGAGTGTTTCTGGTCCCAGTAACTCTGGGTAAAGTGTCACATCCCTCTCCTGCGTTCCTGTGGGGATGCCCTGGACTGACTGGTTCAGACTCTAGGGCACAGGATACAGCTCTGGTGACTGACACCTGGGGAAGTAGGTGGAGATGGGACGGGAGGAGGGAAGTTGGTGGGGTCCCATCTGGAAAATCTCTTGCTGGGAGCTCGTGTTCCTGCTCTGATCTTTGTTCAGATCCCAGCAGGGGGGGAGGGATAGCTCAGTGGTTTGAGCATTGGCCTGCTAAACCCAGGGTTGTGAGTTCAATCCTTGAGGGGGCCACTTAGAGATCTGGGGCAAATCAGTACTTGGTCCTGCTAGTGAAGGCAGGGGGCTGGACTCGATGACCTTTCAAAAGGTCCCTTCCAGTTCTAGGAGATAGGATAGGTCACCCCCAAGAATGACATGTGCTGGGTCCGAGGAGAACATTGAATTAAACTGTTCCTGCAAAAGTCACTTGGCTCTTGGCTTCGTACCCGCTCTGGGCACATGCCCCATCTGCACCGGCCTGCCTGCTGCTCACCCTGTCTGCCCCTTTCCCCAAACCAGGAAGGAGGGAGGTTGCCTGGAATCTGAAGCAGGTTGGGGAAGGGACAGACCCTGGAGTGCAGCGGGCATGGGGGATGCGTGAGGCTAATTTCACACTATTGCAAATGGGAGATTTCTTTGTATAGATAAACACCACCGAGAACCCCAGAGAGGCCTCTGTATCCCAGGTGTTGGTAGCCTTACCCTTCTCTGGCCTGGACAATGGATATTGTAAATGAAGAGCTCCCCCTGGTGGGGAAGGTCACATTTACAGCGGTTCCCAGCGGTCACTCTAAGCTGCAGAACTCAGAGCTTTATAAGAATTGTCTCTAACCCCAACACTGTGTTGTGTGACCAGGATCTCTTGTCCCCTGGGATCTGGGCTCCTGGCAATTTATAACCCTGCTTGGGGAGCACAGGCCGGTGCTCAGGGCCTGACAGCTGCCCTCACTGCTGAGCTTTGGCATGGGAAGAAGGAAAATTCTGCCTGATTCTACAATGAGCAGCTGGGGAACCCAAGGGCTGAAGCAGCTGATGGCACCATTCCCTTCCCTCCAGAACTCCTCCCTTCCTGCCGAAACCTGCATTCTACTGGGCTCTGGGCCTCCCTCCACACTGCACAGCAGAGAGCCAGGGGCACTTTCAAAGGGGGTTTGGGCCCTGCTTTGCTTCTTCCTGCTGGGTAACGCGGGGCTGAAAGGTTTGCAGCTAAGCCCAGACCCGACTCCCTGAGCTACGGGAGAATGGATCTGTGTTAGCACCGCGGGGCCTGTCACACAGCGGG